AAGCCGCGATTATTTAAATCGCAGCTTCATTTCCCTCTGCCGATCAGCCTAATCTACATGGCTCCGTCGACGGAGCCATGTAGTTTAGACACACCCTAGGTGTGTGGGTTACACTTGCAGCCCCTCTACCGCCAGCCCCTGCCGGCACCCTACCCACCTGGCAGGAACATCTGTTGCCGGATCAGAGACTCCTGGTTTGGAGAGGTACAACCTGTGCATGATTTTATACTGTGAGTAGCCAGCAAGTTGCATCTCAGATTAAAATTCCTAGCTACACAATTATCCCAGTTTTATTACAGTTACCGTTGGATATTAAATAGCAAAAAACGATTAAAGCTTTTCTTGAGTGAAACCAGTGTAATGAAGGCAGAATCAGTAATTAGCCCCCTTTTTAATTAACACTTTTTAAATAATTCACTGGCATATTATTGTATGAAATATGGATTAGGGATCTGTAACACATTCCTGGTGTTTGCTTCCCACGGGGTTCCTACAGTGTCTGCTTTGTCGCACGGTACATCTGAGATGGGTTTCTGCTTCTGTGGTGCAGTGCAGTGTCCACTGAAGTATTTTGTTATGTATTTTACTAGAAGACTCGTTGCTTGAGTCCTGCAGGGTTGGGGGGAGGGGGAGAGGGCTCAGAGCAGGAGTCTGGAGGTTTGTATCAGCTACAAACTTTATGAGTTTGATGAACTTGTTGAAATGGCTGATGAAATGCATCCTAGAATACTCAAGGAGCTGACAGAGGAGGTACAGGCAGTCCCCGGGTTACGTACAAGATAGGGACTGTAGGTTTGTTCTTAAGTTGAATTTGTATGTAAGTCGGAACTGGTATATATTGTAGGGGAAACTCTAGCCAAACATTTCTCCAGAGCTCAGTTTTATTCTCCCACACCTCACTTCCCTCAGTCCTTTATTCTCAAGCTGAGGTGTCTGCTGAGAAAAACTGCTCCGCGTCTCCCTGGTCTGCTGGGGAGGGGCGCTAGCTTCGCGTCTCCCTGGTCTGCTGGGGGGAAGCAGCTAGTGCGGGGTTGCCTCACCCCGTTTGTAAGTAGGGATCCGATGTAAGTCGGATCCATGTAACCCGGGGACTGCCTGTATCTGAGCCTTTAGCTGTCATCTTTGAAAAATCATGGAAGTCAGGAGAGATTCCAGAAGTCTGGAAGAGGGCAAATCTAGTGCTCTTCTATAAAAAGGGAAATAAGAACAACCCGGATAACTACAGACCAGACAGTTTAACTTCTGTGCCAGGAAAGATAATGGAGCAAGTAATGAAGGAATTCATCTGCAAACACCTGGAAGATAATAAGGTGATAGGGAACAGCCAGCATGGATTTGTAAAGAACAGATCATGTCAAACCAATCTGGTAGCTTTCTTTGATAGGATAATGAGTCTTGTGGATAAGGGCGAAGCGGTGGGTGTGGTATACCTAGACTTTAGTAAGGCATCTGATATGGGTCTCGCATAATCTTCTTATCAATAAATTAGGCAAATACAACTTAGATGGGGCTACTATGAGGTGGGTGCATAACTGGCTGGATAACTGTTCTCAAAGTAGTTATTAACATTGGACGTTGGAATAGTGAGCTATTTTGAAATAGCGGGCTTGTTTAAAAGACACGGCATAGCTCTTTCGGGATACCAGAAGTATCCTGAAATAGTGCCGCAGTGTAAATGTACCCTATTGGCCCTTTTCCAGTCTTCTCAAACCTCTTCCGACTTCTGTGTGTCATCAGATGGATTAACTGAGCCCCTAATTAGGGAACTAGAGTTTAAACTTTCAGTGCAGAGCTGCAGGAAAAAAATGGGAAATTAAGACAAGCAGCAAAGCTGATTTGCATAGTTATGCTAATAGGGATGCATGAGTCCTTCAAACAAGAATTTATGTGGTAGGTGGCTGTGAGCATGGTTTTATTTCCTTCCTTCCCCCACCTAATAATTGGTGGAAACAGCAATGTCAACTCGGCGGTTAAACCAGGAGGATGGTGCTAGATACAATACAAGGATATTTTTCTTAGTGGCAAAACTGTTTTGTTATGGCGTCACGTGGGGGTCCTGAACTAGATTTCCCCTCGCACCGTATGTTAGGGGGAGATTTTCAAAAGGCGCAACGGGCAGCTGAATTTTAAAAAAGAAGAACCCATGCGACTCGCTCCCATATAACAATCTTCCCTTTTGCCGTCTGTCTCCCTTTGCCACTATGCGACTGCACGGCCCCCCATGGTGATACATAAGAACGGCTGTACTGGGTCAGACCAAAGGTCCATCTAGCCCAGTATCCTGTCTGCCGACAGTGGCCAGCACCAGGTGCCCCAGAGGGGGTGGACCGAAGACAATGATCAAGCGATTTGTCTCCTGCCATCCCTCTCCAGCCTCTGACAAACAGAGGCCAGGGACACCATTTCTAGCCCCTGGCTAATAGCCTTTTATGGACCTAACCTCCATGAATTTATCTAGCTTCTCTTTAAACTCTGTTATAGTTCTAGCCTTCACTCTGGCAAGGAGTTCCACAGGTTGACTATGCTCTGTGTGAAGAACTTTCGCTTATTAGTTTTAAACCTGCTACCCATTAATTTCATTTGGGAAGTGGGGGGTAAAATTCAGGACGCCCACAGGTGGATGGGAAGGTTTCATGAGTGATGCAAAAGCGACTTAGGAAGCAGCCCTAAACCTATCCGAATGATGATTTCATTGCATTCCCTCTCCAAATCCATGAGGAACCCCAGGCCTGCCAAGTTTAGCCTTTTGTAAGGGTAGTTCCAAACTTCCCTCTTTTTATTGCAAAGTGGCAGTATGGCCTAGTGGCTAGACAGCTGCGCTAAGCGTCAGAAGACCCCTGTGTGTCGTCCCACAACTACTAGGATCCTATTTTGGGCAACTTGCTTCCCCTTTCCTGGTGGGTTACAAGTGTATTGTTGAAGAAACTGCTTCTTATTGTGTGTTCATGCCAATGGCTCCCAACCTTTTCCAGCCTACGGACCTTGGTTCATACTTCTTCAGCTCCCGCCCCCTCTGTCCCCTACCCATCCAGGGAGGATATGGCGAGGGGGCTCTCATGGCCAAAGGCAGCTCCTGCCCCGGTACATTGCCCTTGGCCACGCACGGAGCCCTGGGGGAGAAGAAAAGAAAAGGAAAAGAAAAGTCAGGATCGGGCCTACTGTGGGATGGGGAGCTGGGGGGGGTTGGGTGAAATGGTCACAAATTGCAAGTCCCGGGCAAGAGTCACCTGTAGGAAATTCCCAATCTGGCGGTGGACCTGGTCCTTACTTTTAAACTTTCAGCGGAGTCCTTACAGTACCACCATGGACCACCAGGGGTCAGTGGCCACTGGTGGGGTACCACTGGCTTACACAGTGCGCGACGTCTGTCGCAATTCAAATAAAAACCCAATTGTATCCATTTCCGCAGCGGCTCCAAAAATACACTGCATGCCAGTGACAACTGGCCTCCGGTTCTTCCTCAGCAGTTTCAGGTCTAATCCGACTCTGTTTTCCCTGAGCCAGGTGCTGGAGGAATGGATGAAGCCTTTTTCCAGCTTTGCCAGGAATTCACGCGGCTGCAGGACTTATGTGCAAAGCAGGCCGAGCTTTTACAGGAGTTGGTGGCGACGCAGGAGCCCGTCCCCGGTAAGGAACGCTGCTTGCTCCGTGCTTCGGTTTCAGCCGGCGACGATTTCTGGCCAGGCGTAATGCTAAATCTAACCTGAAGGCACCTGCCTTTTAAGGGGAGTCTGCACGCAGCTGGTGTAACCCACACACCTAGAATAGTAATAGAAATGTAGCCGTGTTAGTCCTGTATTTTGCGTCAGCTACACCAGACTATGTAGCACTTTAAAGACTAACAAGATGGTTTATTAGATGATGAGCTTTGTGGGCCAGACCCACTTCCTCAGTGAGTCATTGATAGCACAGGAGAGACAAGCTTCCACTTCTCAGTTCAGGTGATAAGGCCCCAACTGCATTCTCAAGGAAAGTCTTGTCCAGTCCCTCTTGTGGAAGAGGAAATGTCACTTATTAGCATATATCATGTTCTCATTTGCATATTTTCTTCTGATCCTTTTTGCGAAGAGGTTTTTGCGCAGAAAAACTCAGTGTAGACAGGGCTGTTTTGTGCAAAAAAATCCTTTTGTGCAAGAACCCTTATTCCTCAAAAAATGAGGTTTACAGGTTCTTGCGCAAAAGGGGTTTTTTTGGCGCAAAACGGACCCATCTACACAGCATTTTTTTGTGCAAAAACCTCTTCTGCAAAAAGCATTGGAAGAGAATATGCAAATGAAGCGCGAGAAATTGCTAATGAGCACTCCATTTGCGTTGCCTCTTCCACAAAAGAGAAGCAGTGTAGACATGCCCAATGAGGTTCACTGTCCCATTTGGTGGCACTTAGACAACATCTACACTATGAGTGTTTGTGGCAGAAAATATGCTAATGAGGAGCTCATTAGCATAAGTTGGGCTCTCATTTACATATTTTCTGCCAATCCGTTTTTGCGCTGGGGGGTTTTGCGCAAAAAACAAGCTGTGTGAACGTTTCCTTTTTGCGCAGGATCAGTGTACCTCCTTTTTCGCAGCATAAAGATTTTGCACAAAAAGGGGGTTTCTGAGCAAAAATGAAACGTCCACACTGCTTGTTTTTGCGCAACCCCCCCCAGCGCAAAACCGGAAATATGCAAATGAGATCATGATTTATGCTAATGAGTCCCTCATTAGCAGGGCTTGCCAAGCGGCGGCGAGCCCTGCTCGCCAGCTGCGCGGTTTCGCGCAGTTCTGCGCTCTGTACATGCGCAGATCATTCTGCACCGGCTCTTCCAGGTTGTAATCTACTCTCCACTGATTTGCATTCGTGCTTTGGTGTGGAGCGCTTACCGTCGTTCCATAGGTGACGCAAGGCGAGGAAAGGCAGCTGGAATTGCATTAGCTTCTTCCTCATGCGCAGTCCGTTGACATGAGGGTGCATAAGAACGGCCACAGTGAGTCAGATCAAAGATCCATCTAGCCCAGCGTCCCATCTGCCGACAGGGGCCAATGCCAGGTGCCCCGGAGGGAGTGAACAGAACAGGGAAGCATCAAGCGATCCAGCGATCCATCCCCTGTTCCCCATTCCCAGCTTCTAACAGAGGCTGACCATTCCTACCCATCCTGGCTAAAAGCCATTGATGGACCTAACCTCCATGAACTTATCTAGCTCATTTTTTGAACCCTGTTAAAGTCCTGGTCTTCACAACATCCTCTGGCAAGGAGTTCCACAGGTTAACTGCGTGCTGCATGAAGAAAAACTTCCGTTGCTGCTGTAGAATCAATGCCTAGTTACCGGTGTTTGTCGGAGAGGGCGATGATTCACAATAGGAGAATGATACAGTGGGTTGATGGGGCGGGAGTGCAAACAAAGACAATAAGGTCCTTTCAGCCCCCTGGATGAGTGGCCCCTTTGTTTTCTTTTAAAGCCATGCCCATTTCGATGCCAATCCAGTGCACAGATGCCGGCGGGTTGGAGCAACCAGAGAGGAGCGTCCTCAAACAGCAAGTACCAAAGGCTGATGGCTCCGGCCTTCCCAACCCAACGATGCCTCCATGGCCCAACACCGGCGCTTTTTGGGGCCAGCTGCAAGACTCGTTTTCCCAGGTGGACATCACGTACCCACCCAGGGCTGATGCGGCAACGGTGTTTTTGAGCCGGCCCCGCCACACCCCTCCTGCGGGCAGGATCCCGGAGGGTGACCCGCCACTGGGAACGGACATGACGTTTCCCGCCTGGAACGTGGCCCAGGGAAAATCCACAGCCCCTCGCAGACCTCTGGAGCATGGGACCCTGCATCCGGAGGAGCTCAGTGCCTTCCCCAGCTTCCTGGATCTTTACAGAGCCCCCCAAGAGTTGCAGGTGGAAAGGGCTTCCCGTCGTGTGGCATGGAGCCAAGCGCCTATAGAAATACGCGGCCCCACACAGGTACAGCCGCGGGTTACGCAGCCCTATTGGTTAGTCATGTGATTGCTAGAAGACGTCCCTGGCATCGCTCGGGCCCTTCAAGGCAGGGGGATGGCGGTGGGGGGG